AAGTAGTTCGGCTGCCCGATGACGTTTTACGTATTATAGGAGTTATTTTTACCGTTGTTTACGGATACTGCCACAATTTTTATAGGAATCATAACTATAGGAAACGGTTTTATAGGGGGATCTACTGTAATTTACACTAAAAGTTAAATTAGATGTACAATTTTTACGACAATTTCACATTTATCGTCAACTGTAATTAAAGTTTTTGTACTGAATGTTCAATTTTGTGTTCATTAACATATATCGAAATAATAATCTGATATCTTTTTAAATTAACACATTTTTAAAATTAGTTGTCGTAAATTAATCAATCGGATGAATGGAATTTTCTTTCGTGTTCTTCTAGTGCAACCTCGTCTGAAAATTGTTCACGGCACAACGGACATTCAAATTTACTTTCTTCAACGTCCATTTCCAAGAAGAATTCCACTTGTGAAGATCTTTCAATTCGTCCAATTCCTAAATCGACTTCAACGTTTCCAAGAAATTCTTCACTTCCTTTTGGAGTTAAAACAGTTTCTTGTGAAGAAATTTCTTCAAATTCCATTGACTCTGCTGTTTGAGAACTTGTCGATGGTTGTTCAAATGCTTCTTGCTGCTGTTTTTGAACATCTTGTTTACTTTTCTGAAAGTAAATAACATATCTGTACACAATGTACTGAAATATAAATTGATTTCAGATAATTATTTACTGTATTATGTATGTAATTCTTTAAGTCTTAACAGCTTTTTTCATATCATTATAGTTATATACCAATAATAGAATATATGTTTAAAGTTTATTCCTAAAATATATTTGTAAACTTACCTCGAAGCAAGTTTGTGTTTCCGCTTTTGGATGAAACTTTTTCTGGTGTCTCTTCAATTGAATTTTCAATGTAAATGTTACGTTGCAAATATTACATGAGTATGTCGGCTTTCCGGTGTGAGTTCTCATATGACGTGTTAAATCAATGGGAGTGGAAAACATTACTCCACAAATACGACATTTAGGGCTTGTGATCTTCGGGTCTTTTAGTGAAATCTAATTTCATAATAATTTATGAAATAATTATTAACAATACATTAGAGCATGCAACACATAAGAACATTAACGATGATTACAGTTATTTATTTATATTATTGTTTTAATATTTGTTTCTGTAAATTAGCGCAGTTACATTAAATATTGTTTCGAAAATAAATTAAATGTTTTATATAATCTTATAAAATGTTATTGTGTGTATTACTTTTATAACTTATCGCTTTGAANTAATGGAAATTTTTAAAAGGAAAGAAAACATCAATGCCCGGATTCACAAAAAATGAGAAACCGTTTAAATGCGAATTCTGCGGAAGACGTTTTACATGGAACAGCAATTTAACGCGGCATCTGAAATTGCATTCGAAGGAAAAGCCTTTCAAGTGCAATTGCAATGGCTGTAAATGGAGCTTTAAACGGGAAGATGAATTAGAACGACACCAGTTCTCATGGCATGGTGAAGAGATTTTATCTAAAGTAAACATTACGATAAGTTTTTATATTTTCATTTTAATATTTCGATTCCCAAAGCGATCAGTTATAAAAAAAAACAACCACAATAAAAGCTAATAGAATTATACAAAACACTTAATTTATTTTGTAAACAATATTCAATGTTACTGTGCTAATTTACAAAAACATGTGAGCCGCCAGAAAGGTCGGAAACCGTCGACTCTCCCTTTTCGGCAACAGGTCGTTAAACCTACTCACGTGTCAAGATGGCTAAATTTCGAATGCGGTCCCGAAGGGTCGGGATGCTTTTTGTCAGGTCGAGTAGAGGAGGTAAGAGGGGTCGTCGACGTGGCGTAGGCGATATACGAGTAGACAACACCATTTAACAATGAGAACAACAATTTATTAGACTAACGAAAAGGAAAAAAAATTAAAAAATACAAAAATCTAACATCAGGGAAGTGAATTTAGTTCACTAGCTCCTAACTCGCGGAGAGAGAGTTTACATTGAATTGTTTCATACCTCTAGTTTACTTCCACGTAGGCACAGAGTTCGACGCACAAATTTAAAGGTAAAGTTTCCCGGAGACTTAATCCTTTTAGATCGTAGATGTGAGACGCCCCCGAGGAGGGGGAAAGAAGTCGCTTTTATAGCTTCGGACTGGGAAAATCAGTCATGTGATCACCTATTGTGAGAGGTAGGGTTGGTCCTGCAGGTGTGGAGGTTAAAGTTGTTCCCGGGACCCAAAACAAAATAACGAATTCGGACTTTAACTATAAACTCTTTTGTTTTGCAGCAGAGGAATAACATTGTTCGAGGGTTGAATGTTTATATTAATTAAGTAACTCATTACTGGATTTCTCTAACAGTAGTTAACTTTAAATAATTTATATCCATATAATGATACGCTTCACGTATTTGGAATGTCTGATACCCGTAAGAATGCTGCATAACGTCCACATATTAGAGAAATTGCGGCCGACGTGAAAACGTATACGTCGGACGTTCAGCGGCGCTTTCCTGTGAGCCTAGAAGTTTGACAATGATGTTTGGATAGTCAGTGGAGTCATGCTCGACATTCCAGACACCATTGCCAAACTTCCAAGCCTTTAGGAGAGCGGCGCCGAACGTCCGACGTACAAGTTTTCGCGTTTAAAACTTCGGCCTTAACCTCGCTATTATAACCGATTGAAAAGGCCCGTATGGTCGAAATGAATTCTGGCTTACTAATAATAGTATAAGTGTTAGACAAGTTGTGGGAAGTACGTAGAGAAGAATCGAAGAATAAGAACTCGTGAACTTGCAACAAAAGTGTTAATATTTAAAATTAATGCCGCGTTCGAGATTAAACAAGTCTTCATAAGTAAGCACTGTCTTGATTGGTTGAAAGCAAACACGTGTAGAAAATAGCAGAAAGTCAAATGAAGAATACCTGGAAAGTATTAACCAAAATTTACAATGGTATCCTGGGTGTCACGCTCAGAAAAACCAAACAGCTATGGGACTGTTACAAAAACTTTTAAAAAAAATAGCCATAAAAGAACAGTCACAAAAAACAGTTTGTTACCTTCCACACATAAACAGTTTATTATGCACAATTTACAGTGTTTGGATTGTGTATTGTATTAAAACATGTTATTTTTAATTTAGTTTATCCACTTCTCAAAAATGGTAAATAATGATAGTTGATATGCTAGTATTCTGCAAACAATTGTAAATGTTCTGGAGCTTTAACTGACAGTTAAAAAAGTTCAAAGGATAAGCATTTTCCACGGGGAATATAAAGTCTTACCCTCAATTATAGTCGACCCCCTATAATTATGATTCCTATATAACTGCGAAAAAATTGTGACGGTATCCGTAAAAAAAGGTAAAAAAAACTCCTATAATTACGTAAAACGTTATGGGGCAGCCGAACTACTTTTCCGCCGTCCATAGGCCACGCTACGGAGAGATTTCTATCGTCTGGATAGTATTAGGGGAGATCGGGGCAACTTCGGCATGCGGGGCAAGTTTGTCAAGCGCTTTTTTAAAAAAACAAATTAAAAGGAGACTTTGGTTATAGGTTAGGCAGTTGAGTTTTATTGGTGGCTNATAACTTTTAAGCCATAAGGCTTCCAAATAGGGGTCCAGTTTCAAAAAAGTCGAAAAATTTTCCTTAAAGTGTCCACTACCGGTGCGTTTACCTTAATTGCATTTTATTTCTGTTTTCTCGTGTGGCTTTTGGCTTAGTTCAGATATTTTAGTTCTTACATTCGTATTATTCGTCATATTCTAAAGTGTATAATAAGTATCGTATTTTATGCATTTTGGCATTTTACTCTCTTCAAGTAGCAAAAAAAAATATTGTTTCATTATTTCTGGATTCTTGTAGATCTTCACTTTGCAATAAAGGAGATATTTTTATCACAAAACAACTCTCGAATAATGGAACTTATTCGTGAAACTGCCAAATATGAAACCATAAAACAATTGAATTGTAAGAAGAAGGATGGGGAAAAATTTTCTGTAACTTTAGATGAATGGACTAGCAAGAAAAATCGCAGATATTTGAATATTATCTTTTTATGTATTGTATTGTTTATTTTTTATGTTAGAATAAATTTACTAATTTTTATGGTACTATATATATTATATTGAAGCAATATTTTAAGCATCTGTGAGGAACCGGGTTCGATAAAGTTAAATCATCGAACGTTTAACGGCTATAAGTTAGTATAACTTATTCTCTAAGGATTGGTGATGTTCAGTATTTCAATTGTTTTTCCTGACACCAGCTAAGATAAAACTTTCACGTCTTACCTCGCGATAATAAATTAGTTTCCGAGTCTAAGGAACTTAGATACTTAAGTAAAGGATTCGGCATATAAATAATACAAAAGAAGACCAACTTAAAATTAAACAAACCAAAATTTTATGCAAATAAAAGTGAAAACAAAATTCTGCTTATTATTTAAATAATATTTAAAATTTTTATATGTTAGAAATATACATATTACAATATCTCAATATTAATATTTTGACTTGGAAACATTTAGTCGACTCGTTGTTCANCAATTGAATTGTAAGAAGAAGGATGGGGAAAAATTTTCTGTAACTTTAGATGAATGGACTAGCAAGAAAAATCGCAGATATTTGAATATTAATTAACGTACAGTACACCATTTTTTGAAAAAGATTTTAATTTAAGATTAGTTTTCGTAGCTAGTTCTTGTGTTCTAAAAGAATATTAATTAATTAAAAAGATTTTGTTTTTTTATCCGTTCACTTTTAAATATAAAGAATTCGTTATACGTTGTGAAATAATTTAATAACTTTTGTAAATTTCTATATCCGATCTAGTCAGTTATATCCAATTGTTTTCCGTCTATAAAATTTAATTCGTGAATTTTTTTGCTAGTAAAATATACTCGATACTTTTTAACAGAATCTATATAAATAATATAGATACTGTTAAAAATATAGATACTGTAATATAGGACTGTGTAATGTTTTTATGACCGACTGTCGATAAATAATTTCATGATCTTTCATTGAAATGCTTCAAAATCTATTAGAATCGCATTTTACAATTTTATTTTAACAATAAATTTAATTATCAAATGTTTTTAACAATTAATTAATTTTTATAAGTGAGTAGGTGTCAGATTTTCTAATTCACTTTATGAACTGATTTTTGTTTTGATTATAATAATGTTCTATCTGAATTATTTTATAGATCTGAAAAAATTAAAGCATGACAATTGTATGAAATAATATAATACCGAAATTATATTATTTTTACATTAATATCAGATGTCAATTAAATAAAGATTACAAATAATTTATTGTGTTTAGAAATTATTCTACAGATGTTATATAGATTTGTAGATATTCTACAGATCTATTAAAAAGTGTTTCTTCTCAATTCTTTATCGTAAATTAAATGTTTTCCTGCAACTATGATGTTTGTTAAATGTGTTTTATAGACGAGAATAAATAAAGCATTATAGTTTATTATTGCTTAAATCATTTCTTTCGATAATATCGGTAAAGAAATCGTTATTATTTTAGCATTTGATATTGAAATTACACTTTCAAATTTATTTCTACAGTCAGCCAGTGGAAGTGATGATGGAGAAACTTGTCTTACTTTTAATATAATGCAGATTTTTTATTTATAAAGTTGTCAAAATTAGTTTGATATGTCAAGTGTATGACGTAAGTTTTCCTTCTCTACAATTATTATATATAAAAGAAAATACGTATAAATAGAAATAACACCAGTAAAAATATAGAAAGATAACAATAAAACAAAAATATTAATATTATTAAAGATTTTATACGAACGTGTTTATAACAAGTTAATCGAAAGTAATAAAGTATAAATTGTGTTTATACACGTACAGATTTAGAAACAGAATATAACAGTAAGGCTAAGACTTCACTACCGTAAAAACGGCGTAAAAACCCCTCGCCGTAAAAGCTTTTAATCACGTGACCCTGATATCCTACGCCTGAGCAGGCCGTAAAACCAGCGTAAAAGCGAG